CATCATATTTCTGTACAGTTATTCTAAACATTTGATATTCATATTTTTCAAAGGATCTCGAAATTCCGTCTAAAAAATGGTATAATTTAGAAATTGCAGAATTTAGGTAGTTCACTATTTTTTCAGTTTTTTGATTCTGCATAAAAAATGGCTAGACCGATTTTGCTGAAAATCTAATCAGTTCTAAGTTACGTAATTAAGCGTCGGATGCGATTGGTCCCACATCGACATCATTTTTTGTTCTCGAGATAATCGAGGCGAAAAATAATTCCGAACGCACGTCCGAACATACGAACATACGTACATACACACACAGACGTCCACGTAAAAACTATCGTATTCAACTCTGGGGACCTTAAAACGTGGAGATATGTCAAAATTAGCGATTCGCAAAATCGGACCCATTACTATAACTTCCCCCTGGGAAGTTAAAAAAGAGTTGGATAAACGAATTTGGAAAGATTCGAACAACTTTTAGCATTCATCTTAATGAAAGTAGTCAGACCAACTCTTTTTTGATAGGTGCGGGAACTAGAAAATAACAACTATGTTTTACACAGTTGATTAAACTCCATGAAAGCAGTCAATGAGCAACTGGGAAAGTTAGTTGTAGTGACTATTTATCGACAGGTAAATGAATAACTTAAAAATATTTCAAATTATCGGAATTATGAAAATAGAACTAATAATAAAGTTGTGTTTTTAATGTAAATCTTTTCTTGATGTAGAAAGACACGATAATAATTTTAAACATTCTTGTCCATCATTAATTTATCACAGATAGAAATAAAAATTGACTTCTAACAATTATTACGTATTACAGAGCTTCATACGTGTTGAGGTTGTTATTGACATGGAGGAAGGACAACGCATTCGTAAAGTACATGATTATATCCGTCACAAAAATTATTTAAGGATTGATAAAATGGAGTATAATAGGAGGGCCATGAACGGAAGGTAATTACAGAACATCTAGTAGTCTGTTTTAATATATAAATTATGAAAATCTATAGTTGTTTTATGATTGAACTTACTTTTTTCTTTGGCTCTTAGATTATTCTTTCTAATTACATAAAACAATAAATCATTTAACTTTACTGAACACTTTTTAATTGCAAATTGTTTATTTCTTAAGTGTTTATGATAAGAGTACACAAAAGGTCTTTTGAAGTAATGTTACATTTCAAAATAATTCTTAAACGCTATGCTATGAATGTCAACAGTTTCATATTTCTTACAGTTAATTAGATTAATTAATTTCAAAGTATATTTTTCTGTAATTAAACAACAATAACAATTCTTAGGAATTACAATAGATAAATTGGTACAGAACATACAATATAAGAAAACGACGCAAATCATTAAAATTTCTCGTTACAAATAGCATAGAGTTCAATATAGAGCTCTATGCGTGATAATGTTATTATTAAATTGAAGGAAGGACGACTTATAGATTAACATATTACAAGAACCTTATTTTAATTAGAGGAATCCCTGACAAGACATGATGCCTTAACTTAGCATTTATTTTAGTACAAATGTATTTTAAAGGTATTGATCATTTCTGTCCTGAAAATGTAAAGACAGAAATTCCTCTAATTCAAACAAGCGACCCGCGTTCCTTAGATCAACCACTTTTACAGTTCTATTGTTTAATATAAAATTTTTTAATAGTTTCCATGACGTAGCAGAATTGTTGATAGTCATCAATTTTAATAGAGGTAAATGAAAATCCCAATACCTATCATACTTGACATTTGTCAATGTTATGTCTTCAACAATAGTGCAGTCGAATCTTAAAATTTCCGTTTTTATATGAAAATCTGGAATAAAATAATTCAATGACAGTGATTTTTTTAAAACATTTAATTCAAAAAATCGGGTCAAAACTACTACTTACTTGAAATATAAATTAATTTCAAATTGGGTGTATTAGTCATGAAGCAATTAATTATGTTACTCTCGACTCTTTCTAATCCTTTTATCGTTAGTTCTTCTGATGTTGTAAAAGGCTGATCCCAATCTCTTAACATATCCCATTTTGAAGTTAAATATTTGTCAAGTGTAATATCAAGATTTTTGATACTGCTCCTCCATAAGATTTTTATAAAAATATAAAATGCATTCGTTCCCTCTGCATCATTATCATCTATTATTAAATTAGTGAAGTTGCTTCTTTTCCAAAAAATCCACTAGGCGATTGGTCTGTTATTTGTGACATTCCTTTAATACAATTGATTTAATTGCTGATGATGTAGCATGAACAAAGGATTCTCCAGTAAAGTTATTGTTGTAACAAATGCCAAGTTTGATAATTGTCTTTAAAGTTAGATTCTCTTGCAAGAATAATTTTTGCATTTCTCGATCATAACTCCCTGTAGTATTGCCGATAATGAATGTATGTAAGAAATTTGCAAGTTTCTGATATTCCTTCAAGAATTTTTGATGAAATTATGATTCCCGACAAATCTAATTCTTGTAACAAATTATATGCTGCTAACATTATTTTCTTAAATAGGTACTTATGTTCATTTTTTATTCGGATAGGTCGAACGAAGAAATGTAGAGCTGCAGAAGAGAGTTGTGAAGATTGGGTAGAAGGCTGGATGATGATGTTTTGCCTCAATCTTGGGATTATTTGTGATAAAAATTTAGAACAACACATCAGACAAAATATATCTCGAAATGATAAACATTGTATAATGAATTTTATCACAAAGTTTGCTGAAATTATCATCTATAAAAAGTGATACATCGAATGAACGAATATGAAGAGCCGTTGATTGAGGTGTTGGCTGTATTATCGCTGGTACAACTCTTACAATATATCTCGATGATTTTGATGTTATTTGAATGGAATATTTATTGTCCCTTCCGTTACATTGAACTGTTAAACTTTCTTCGAGAGAACTTACGGTTATCCATGCTTTTGTGCCATTCATTTGAATTTTACAATTGGAAACATCTTTAGAAGGCATCTTTTAGATAACGTTTTCTTTCCTATGAGGAGGTAGGTTGAATATACGTAAAATTTTCACATAAATATTGGTTTTTTATACTTAGAATTGATCGAGTAATTTTGAAAGATAAAGAGAAACTGTCAAGAGTCTTAGCATCACCGGTGTCAACTATCATAAAATTTTCGTATTTATTTACTACAAGAATTGGACTTGTCCGGTGTTAGCATTAGGCCACGAACTATAAGAGAAGTCGTAAAAAATTGTCCGTCAACAAACTGTGAACGCATAAACCTCGTGGAGGCGAACAGAAGAGAATCTTTTCTTTAGTGACTTTCCGAACAAAGAAAATTGTGAATTGTAGTTGAAGTGAAAATTAACATTAAAAAGTGTTTGTGGTGAATATAATTGAAAACAAATTCGATGGAGTCTATCATTTCATCATAAAAATTGAAGTTGAAGGTATTATTTTTAAATTATCATTTTAATTCATTAAGTATTGCATATACATTAATTATTGTACAAAAAACACATGAAAAATAATGTCCAATTACAATTTATATGGTAATATCAAAATTTCTGCCATTTTTCGTTGCTAAAATATTTACTTTTATTGTAAAAGTGAACTCGAGTTAATTATAAATTATGGAAAAAAGCTTCTGTATTTGAGAAAAGATCTTCATTGAAATATATTTGTCCGTATGAACTGTTTTTTATTTCAGACATCAATAATTAATTGTAAGTCATTTAATTACAATAATCTACGTCTCTTCATTTAGTGTTCATAATGTCAAGCTATTGATGAAAAAGTATACGAGTGAGTAAGGATTAGATGCCATTCTGCTACGACTACTACGAATATCGTAGTGATGCTAAACATCATCGTCTTCTGTTAACAATATCGTATAAAGAGTTCCTAGAAATCCATTATAAACACTACTGGTAAATCATAACGATCAGAAGAAATTTGTAGCGTAAGTTGCAGGTATAGATACAACAGCAGAGACCTATGACGGTGCATGGAAGTTATTAACAAAAAATTATGATAACCCAAGACTTCTCATCAACACTCATATGAATCAATTATTAGACTTTCCAGCAATAGAAAAAGACAAACCTCACACTATTAAACAATGAATTATTCATGTTAGGTCACATTTAAAAGCATTAAAAACATTAAAACTCCCAATCGAGCATTGGGATGAAATACTAGTACACATAATTAAAAACAAGTTAGATTATTACATACAAAAAGACTGGGAAGAAGAAATAAACAAAGAAAAATATAAAGACAAAAGACCGACATTAGAATAACTTTTTACATTTCTAAACGGCAGGTGTTGTACTTTAGAAATAATAGATAAAAGGAAATTTAAGAAAGAGACCATGAAGAATACATCGCAAAAATCATCTGAGAAGATAGTTTCTCTAGCTTCTTTTTCTCTAAAGAAAATAAGTTATGTTTGAATTGCTTGTCAAGTGAACATTATGCAGCAGTTTGTAAAGCATCATCGTGTAAGACTTGTCCAGAAAAACATAACACAAAATTGCATTATAATCGAGAAGAACAGCAAAAAAATCAGCAGACACCAGACCAGGGAGAATCATCCAAAACAGTCATGCATTATACTCATAAGACAAATCAAACTTCTGCAATTAATAATGTTTTAGCAGCCAGAGTTAATATCGTTAAAAAACCAGCAAGTCAAGTATTATTATCAACAGCACAGGTTTTAGTTGAAGACGTGAATGGCAAACAGCAAGCATGCAGAGTATTATTATAAGAAATGGCCATGAAAAAGATTTTAAAAAAAGAAGAAATTGGTTGTGAGGAACAGTTTTTCAAAATCAGTAAGTAGAGATAAATCGGAAAGATATATTGTAATATATTACTTAAAAAATCAAAGGTAGTATTGGGTTAATCTGAGAAGCAAGCTAAAAGAAGACTGTTCTCAGTCATATTACAAAATTGATCTTTTGAAGAAAGTAATTAGAAAATGTATCGATAGTTTTCGCAATAATCCAAAATTTCCTAAAATCATCATGGGTAATCTACCTAAAGAAAGAGTGCAAGAAAACATCAAGCCATTTAAAAACACGGGTGTTGATTATGCAAGCCCACTGAAACTAAAAGAGAGTAAGCGAAGAGGTCGAGTTCATATCACCCAAGCATGGATAGCCGTCTTCATATGCATGTCTACTAAAGCAATTCATCTGGAATTAGTAACTGAGTTAACAACTAAGGCATTTTAGCTGCTCTACGAAGAATTATTGCTAGAAGAGGAATGTGTTCACAAATTTCATCGGACAATGGGACTAATTTTGTTGGGGCAGCTAGAGAACTTGGAGAAGTTTACTAATTTTTACAGCAATTACAACAATCTAACTATTTATTAGCTCAAAATATTGAATGGAAGTTTATTCCACCAAAGACACCAGATTTCGAGGGCTTATGGGAGGCAGCCGTAAAGTCAACGGAAAAACATCTCTTGGTGATCACGAAAGACACCATTTTAACATTCGAGGAATGTTATACACTTTTATCAGAAATTGAAGCAATTCTTAATTCACGTCCGTTGACTCCTCTATCAAATGATCCCGATGAGCTAAGTGTGTTGACACCCGGTCATTTTTTAGTAAAAGAGCCCCTCGTAGCTCCAGCAGAAACTGATTATAAAGATACAGCAACTAATAGGCTATCTCGTTGGCAGCATATACAAAAAATGCGCCAATACTTTTGGAAAAGATAGTATATGGACTATCTCCCTTCGCTACAAAAGCGACACAAACGGTGCTCTAAGGGCGAGGACTTGCAATATTGAAAGTCTATCCAGGTCCAGATAATGTAGCACGTGTAGCTCTAGTAAAAACCAAAGATGGTTTACATAAGAGAGCTTTAGTGAATGTCTGTCCTCTTACTAGTCAAAAAGAAGAAGATTAAGGCGATTAAAATTTAAGACAAAGTTCATTCATCAGTTTAAATTTTAAATTTTCGTTTTTTTACTCATTATTTAAATATTTAGAATATTTCAGAATTTTTCCATCCATTCATTTGATTTATATGTTGAAAATATTTTTCAAGGGGGTCGGGATGTGCTTACCTGCACATTTTTATATATGTATAGTTAGCTGAAAAAGTAAGATGACGATTTTTAGTCAGAATAAAAAAGTGCAGTAACAGAAATTCAGCAGTTTTCATTTAAACAATTCTTAACTAAATTAACTTTTGGTTGAGAATTAACAAATCTTTTCGTAGTTATTAGAGCCATGTGCTTCACAGCTACGAAAAGTACTTTTATCCTGACAACATAAATTATTTATAAATATGTTATAATTATGTTGTCAGAATAAAAGTACTTTTCGTAGCTGTAAAACACATGTCTCTATCAACTTCAAAAAGATTTTACAACGAACTACTTTTCGAGTGGTGCTAAAAACGACAATTTGTATGTTCGTATAACTCCAAATAAAGATTTTATAAAACTATTATTTATTTGTCACCATAACTATGGTCTATCGTTCCAAGAAACCTTTCCTTTGGTGTATCTACAATCTTATAATTATGGTTGTCTGTACTACTGATACGTAGTAAATGCAACGAGTGAAAAGAATAAGATTCAACTATTTCAAACGTAGTCTGTTGACTACGTAAATGTCGTCAATTTAACAATTTAACAACGGTAGTTCCTACTCAGCCAAATGATATCTAAAAGATATCTTACCTTAAGAGACCGATATCTGACAGATATGCTGAAAGTTATCTGTCAGATATCGGTCAGATATCTAATGCGCCGGTTTCAGAGCTCTACAAGATATCTAAAAAAGATATCGGATAGATATCAGGAAAAGATATCGAGTAGATATCGTATGGATACCAAATCTTATTTTTCTAAATATAGTGTAAGGATATTAAAGAAGCAAGAAAAGGAGGAAAATTATTCTTTAATATCGGTTTTCATTAAAATTTATAATTTGAAATAATATAATTAATTTTTTTTTGGTTTTTTTTTATCAAATTTTTTGGCAAGCGATCTCCAGCATGCTGCAACCAATTTTTTATTATTTCCACTACTTTATCCTGTGTAACGTTTTTCACAGAACTGACAATCGTATCTGGAATTACAAGAAAATAAAAAATATACGAAATGTAATATCAATTGACTGGTCAATAGAATGATTTGCATATATAAATTTGTATGCAGAATTTTTAAATAAACTACAAAAAATGAAGATTACACAGACTTATAACAATGATTAGAACATACAACTTCAAAAGTTTTAACATTCATTCTGATCTACTGATAAAAGAAGATATATATTCAAATACCAATTAGAATTTTCATGAACTTCATGCCATCCACTTTAGTGCTATTGTGAGCACCACTCCAAGTAACTTCGTATGCTACGTGTTCATTCAAAATACCGAGCAAAGCACGTTTTGTATGTTGTACATAATCCTCACCACCAATTTTTTTTATAAATGTACGCTGTATTCACACGAACGAGGAAAAATCATACGTAGGAGAGATAAATAAAACTATTTGAAGAAAAAATAATTTTTGAGTTTAGTAAATTAAATATTAATGGAGCAAGATGATCGCAGTAAATTTAATAGTTTAATGCATTACAAATGTTAACGTCATATTTTTTAAAGATAATACTTTTTCCAAATAAATAAAATTACACACTATAAACAAGAACTGAAAAAAAATATTTTCCAATACTTTCAAAATTCTTCTAAAGCAGTCTACAAACGATAATGAAAATATTCTCCAGGTGGAACTCTGCGAATTAGAGTTTTTCTGGAAGATCGGAGTAAAACTCTTGAATCTGATGGTAATGTTAACAATTCTTTAGGTGAAGCTGTACGAAGAATTTTTCATAAATAAGATGTTGATTGATGTGTCATATTAAAACTACACGCCCAATGAGCAAGTCTATCTTTCAAACTTAATTTACTTTTGCTAGAATGTTTATTTTCATCAGCTCCAAAATTATCACAACTACTCGTCTTTCCAATAGGAAAATTCACTGTATCAGGTACACTAACAAGAATCTCGTTTCTACCAAAGTCACTTAATTTACGTATTTCTATATCACTTTAAAGACGAGATGCTTCTTCGTGAGACATTTCAAAATTGGACATCTCAATCTCAAAATTCGTTGAAGATGAATCTGCTGAGTCATTGTTGGTAATATGTCTATGTGATCATTGATGATGAATGCACTGAATCAGAACGATTTTGAATGAATGAATATCTTCATTATTATAAAGTATGTAGATATGCAAAGATACATCTACCTTAAAAAATGTTTTCAATAGATAACTTACATTTCTGAGTTTTTACTGGTTAAGCTGATTACTCAATTTATGAAAAAGAAAGTAAATAAATTTATTGATTTACAGAATTCTATCAATCACTTTTTAGGTTAGAATATGCAATACTCTACGCATGCGCAAAATTACCTCTGCGAATAGATATCTTCCAGATATCATTCCGAGGAACTCGAAAGAATATCATCTTTTAAATGATATCGTTTAGATATCATTTTGACGATATCTATCCAATGACTGAAAAACGATATCGTTTAGATATCATTTACAAAAATCTATGATACAAAATGTTTATTGCAAATATCATATTGTAATTGACTGAACTGTGAAATAAATGTATGTACAACTATTTATGTAAAATGCAAATAACTATATAATGTATGTTTACACAACTGTTAATAAACGTTTCATGTAACTCTATTTTTTTGGTAATCATTACTTTAATTTAGTAATTACAGCAACTTATGAATGGTCTCATACAAACATGATAAATTCAAATATATTTTTGTAGTCAATGCAACCGTTCCTTAGTAGTCATCCAACTACTTCAGGATTGTTATCATAACAGTCGCTGATCATTGTAACAACAACAAACGTATTGTCACGTCAACTACATTGTTTGCTGTTGTGGCAAACTAATTTTTATAATTGATAGAACGATTTTTAAACAGTTGGCTTGACTAATTTTCATTTTTTGATGTTTTTTGAACTTCTGTAAAATAGTTTTATCAATTATATTTTTTTAGTTACATCAACTACTATTCGGTAGTTGACACAACTTCGACCTATAAACTACTTAGAGGTAGTAGCCCTGACTACTTTCACGTTTTCAATGTTTTTTTAACTTCTTCAAAGTAGTTGGGAGAACCAGAAATTTCTCTGAGTGTCATTGATTGCGCTTTTTATTGTTTTTTCTCCTGCCCACGTTTCCTGTAAAATCACTATTTTAAACCTTTCCATAAAATCTCTTATCTCTCTGTACTTGCTTGACCCGTGCGTGTTCCACAGGAGGACGTTGCAGTCATTTTTTGCATTATTTCGGAAACGGCCCCTTGTCTCGAAAGGGCTGTACCTCAAGCTTAGCCGTCACCTCATTAAACCTGCTTACCACGCCATTAATACTAATTTTTTAGTATCCTACGCTTACATTGTTACCTTTACGCCGTTCAATATCAGCTAGCTGTCTGATCCATCTCTGTATTTTTATTGCCTTTCTCTTTTAAAACTCTGTTGATTTTTAAACTATCATTATCAGACTTATTATCGTCAGACTTGTTACAGTCCAATTTATTATTATTATATTTGTCATTAACAATTTTTTTATTGCTTGACTTCTCATTAGTCTTTTGAACAAGTTTTTGATTATTAGACTTATCATCCGTCTTTTGAACAGGTTTTTGATTCCTTGACTTATCATCAGTCTTTCGTAATTTGTTTTTCGAGTGTACAAGATGCTTATACAACGATAGAATTATTTGTATCTTGTGCAGATTTTTTTAGATCCTCACGATTTACCTATAACAAAACTAGTCGATCCATGTATTTTAAAAAATAATTCAATAACGAATATTACCTTTCGTTTTTTTGCTGCACATTCGGTTTCTTCATCCGATTCCGATTGATTACTGTCATCAAACTCGGATTTATCCAACTTCGGTACATGGGTTCTTTTTCGATCTATTTTTCTTTGCAATTCTACTTTTGTTGCTAAAATTAAAATTATCTATAAATCATTCACAACTATCATTTGAATATTTCATTTTTTGTGAGGAATGTATCATATGCTATTGTTGAGAATTAATTAATTCTCAAGTTCAAATTATCAGCTCATAGGAGCTTCGGCGGCCATCTTGGCACTAAGTCGATAACCAATCGATCAAATAATCAAAATTTTTAATTCTAGTCACTCATTTGACTGATTTTCAGTCGCCATCTTGACCAATGATGTTCCTGTCGCCATTCTTTTCTTGTTCTGGTTCACGTGTACATAACATTCTAATTCTGTTCTCTAAAATCTATCTTTTGTGAGTCAATCATTAGTTGCAGTGCATTTCTGAACCTACAAGATCATTCATATTCTTACTCTATAACCAAATCAAGTAGTATTTTTAAACCATTTACTGCAAATTCAACTTAAAGAAATTAAATTTACTTTGCATTACTAATGCAACGTGCACAATCACCATTCGACTTGACATGAGAAGCGTGTTGAACTCGTGTGAACGGTTAATAATATCGACCACACCAAGTCAAGTAATATTACAGACATTCAGTGATTTTTAAGTGATCATTTTATATATATTTATAACTTTTCAAGTGACATTCATTCTATTGTTCAGTAAATCAAGTGTTGTACAGTATTTGTGTACCTGTTAGTGCTAAAAATAAAGATATTACATTTTTTATAAAACCTGA